GGGCCGGCGGGGCGGCGACACAGCGCGGAGGCGGTCGGCGGGCCGCTAGGGCGTCCCGGGGCCGTGGCGCCCCCCGCCGGCGCGAAGTGGCACGGCCTGAGGGGGGCGGGGCCCGGGTCATGTGACGCGGCCGCGGCCGCCATTTTGTTCTGCGGAGCTGGTATTTAGAGCGCAGCGGCTGACGGGCTGCGTCGCCTTCGCAGCTGCCTGGCCGGCTCTGTCTCTCGCACCCGCCCGCTCGCCCGCTGAGCCCTCGCCCCCTCCCCACCCGCAGACATGTCCGAGACTAAGAACGGCCCCGAGTACGCCTCCTTTTTCGCGGTCATGGGCGCCTCGGCCGCCATGGTCTTCAGCGGTGAGCGCCCCGCAGGAGGGTCCCGGGGGACGGGGGGATCCGGGGGCGCGGGCTCGTGCCTGCAGCTCGCCGGTTCTCGGTATGTTAGGTCACTCTGACGTCATGCCCAGCTGTTGGGGGTCCCAGGCCTCACGTGACTGCGGGGGGTCGGGGCCCCGAGGGCGGCGGGGGGCGGTCGGGTGGCCGGAGCGTAGGGCATGCAGGCTGGGCCGGAGTGCGCGTCCCGCAGGTACCCCGGCAGCCCTGCCCGCCGGCCGTGTCGGTGCGGGGGTGGGGCGGCGGCGCTGCTGCCATCTTAGCCCGGGAGAGGCGGGAGGGGTGCTGGGGTGGGGGCTCACGGTCCTGCGCCTGCTCCGCCCCCGCCCCCCCAGTCCTGCGGGTAGGTGACATCACACCTCGGAGAGCTCCCGCGACGCGGGCCGGCCCTGTCCGTGGGCGGCGGGGTCGGGGGTCGGACCCTGGCGCGCCCCGCCGAGGTCCACGGCCCTGGCCCTTTAGGCGGCCCGCCTCCCCTACCCCCGCTGCGGGGGTCAGGTGGGCCTGTGCGCGGAGGCAGGTGCTTCCGGGTAGGGCTCGTCGCGGTTTCCCAGCAGTCCTGTCGACCGTGTGGAGTGGCTGAGGAAAGCCGGGCTGAGGACCGGGATCCTGGGTGGGGGGAAGTGTGTGAAATCGGGGGAGGAGGGGTGTGCGGGAGGCAGGCCTGCGTCAGCGGTGTGTGTGTGGACGCTTGCCGGGAGTCTGTTTCCGGGTGATTAAGAGGGTAGCATGGAATGTCAGCGTTGAGGGAATTCAGGCCCGAGTGAATGAATGAGTGAATGACCTTCCGCTCCTTCCCTGAGGCCTGGAATTGGGAAGGGCTGCCCTAGGCATGGAGAAGGGGCCTTCCAGGGATCTTGATGGCACCCTGGTTTTGAAGTTGGGTCTTGTCAGTCCCGGGGTGTCAAATTTAGTGGAATTTGGTCTACCTGGGAGAAGGGCGCTTGGGCTAGGCCTAGGAATGTGGGGCCCAGGGAAGTGAGTCGTGGCTCAGCTGCAGCCTCTGTGGACTGTTCTGGCGTGGTCTGGTCTAGGCCTCTTCGGGTAGGTCTGGTTTTTGGCTTCATGACCCCGCCCTGCCTCACCCTATCTGGTGGACTGGGGAAGCTGCCTATGCAGGTCTGTGGAGGGTTTGGACTCCAAACAGTCTCTGCTGACAGTAAACACTTGTGGGGGCTGGGGGGGGCGCGGGAGGGTGGTGGCTCTGCTCCCTTGGGAGCCTCCTCTGTCCAGGCCTGCCTGCCAGTCACGAGCTTCTGAGTGAGCCCTGCCCTTCCCATCATGTGCGTTGAAGGGGTCATTTGTGGTGGGAGAAGTGGTCTGGACTTCCCCTTCTCTCTCAGCCAACGCCTGCTCTTTCCCCATCTTCAGGGGCTGCCTGGTCTCCAGCACCTCCCAACAGGCCGCCCTGCCCTTTCCCCCAGTCTTCTCTGCTCCTTGCCTCCGGGGATTCTGCTGTGCCAGCCACCTGTGGGTTGCTACTTCTGGCTGTCATTCATTCATTCAACAAATCTTGGCTGAGCTCCTCCTGAGTGTCAGGCACTGGGGGCCATCAGTGAACAGAACAAGATCCCTGGGCACATGGAACTTGAATTCTGGCTGTCACTGCTTGCTCCTGAGCCCTTTTTCTGTACTCAGTTCCTGGCCTCCCTCTGGTCATCAGCTGTCTCTTTTCCTCTCGTTCTAGAACTTACTGGGTACTTTGGGACTGAGTCTGATAGCAGGTCTCTGGAAGTTACTGAGAACGGAGTATCCCTGGTTCAAGGCTTTTGCTTGACGCAGGCTTCTGTTGGCCTGGATGCAGCTCCACTCTTGCTCCCCTCCCTACACGGGGCTTAATGTGGCCCTCCAGTAGCCAACTTCTGGCTTCATTTCTCCCTCTAACCATGCCTTTCTCCAGGGCTTGTCTTCATCTGCCTCCTTGTGCCTACCTGAACAAGCCCCGCGGTTCTCTGGCCTGGGGTGTTGCAGCCAGGCTGACTCCAAGCTCTGTCCCCAGCTCCTGGCCTAGATGCCCCCTGGCCTGCCTAGTGCTTGGCTGATTGGTCTTCTTAGAACTGAATGCTCACTCTCAGGCCTCCCCAATCCTCAGCTCCCAGTCCAGCTTCCCCTTTTTTCTTAACTTATGACAAAAGTCTTGTTGATTCTTTCTTCATCGTGTCTTCCTGGAAGCTGTTCATTGTTCCATTTCTATGCTTTCTCTGACTTTCTCCTGCTTGTAGGCACGTCTTGTTTGGTCCCGTGTTCCCAAAACTGCCTCCTGATCCCACTCTTTCTGTCCCTCGCCAATCTGGAGCCCCATCGGGCTTGGCCTCTGGAGCTGGTGTCCAAGGCTTTCCCGGACACCTGCTGCTGCTGCCGCCGCCAGCCTGCTTTTCCCTGATGGCCATCCCTGTTTTTTCCCGTGGTTTCTGTTGTTGCCTCCCTGCCACAGCCACATGATTTTCCTGCTGCCCTGTGTAGAGAAGGGCCCAGCACACTTCTCGCCTCCGGCAGGGTCCCGCTACCTAGGATGCTGAGTTCCCCGTAATCGGTTTCCCACCCAGAGCTGCGGGTCAGCCTGTGCCCGCCCCACCTTGTGTAACGAGCCATGGTGCTGGCCTCTTGCACATACGTGACACAACCTGACGTGCTGGGCCTGCAGTAGGAGCCCCAAAAATGCACTGCAACCAGGAGAGTTCCCAGAAAGGCTCCATGAAGACCAGCCCTGAGCCCGGGGCTGAGGGTGCTGAGTGTCTAGGCATGGCGGTGTTGGGGTGCCTCCCGGACTGTGTGGAGGAGGCAGTGCACACCCTTTGCTCCCACCCCTGCCTCCTTCCTTCCTGCAGTTGCTCCCCATCTGGTACCATCTTGGTTGGCCCCTCTGTTCACGTTGTCTGGAATCCTTTTTTTGCTCACTGTCACTCCTCTACTCAGATGTCACCTTCTCTACGAAGCCCTTCCCCAGACACCCCACCCTCCTCCTGGAACATGTTGCTGTGCTTGGAGGTGCTGTGTCTGTCTCCTCACCAGGGTTAGAGCCCTTCTGACCTCACACCTGCTGGGCAGTGAACAAAGTAGGCATCTTTTGTGGCTCAAATAGGTGAATCAAATGTGCAGGGGAATGGTCAGGGTTGTCCTGGTCCCTTCCACCTCTGACCCATGTTATTTTCTGCTCAAGCAGCGCAGTGGGACCCTGGAGGGCAGGTGGTAGGAGTCGGAAGAGCCGCCTGGGCCCCCTGTGGCTTGCTGTTCTGTGCAAAATTTACTCTAGACTTCAAGGACAGAGGCAAGGAGAGAATTTTCAGGAAGGCAGCATACCCTAGGAAGAGGGAGGAGGGACAGTGTCAGAGGAGACAGGCCACCCTAGAGTCCCCACCACCCCCATTACTGGAGGCCTCTGGGAGAAGCTAGGCTTCTGGGAGATCTGTGGAAGCCACGTGGTTGGGCTGGATGATGGCTCCAGCCCCATTGTCTTCCTGTGCCCTGTCCTCTCCATAGCTCGCCCTGCCTCCTCTCTGGTTGTTTAGAGGATCCTCTCCAAACTCAAGAGTCCAGGCCTGCTGTGTGGCTGAGGGGGTGCTCAGCCTGTTTTCACAGATGTCCCAGGGGTGGGAGTGGTGGGGACTCGGGAGCTCTGGCCTGAGAGGACAGGACTTGACTTGCCGGGCCAGCTTTCCCTGACCTTGCAGTGGTGCTGGTTTTTCCAGTGTGTTGTCTCTGGGCTGCTGAGATGGAGTCACCTCGTGCTTTTCCAGGCCTTTTCTGACCTGAGAGCCTGGGACTCCCCATGGGACAAAAGGTACCCAGAATCTCCAGCGAGGCTTCAGGGGCCCGGCTGCCTGTTTCCCTGTGTAATTGGGCTGCCGGACTTGTCGCAGTTCCCCTCATAGGTTGCAGGCAGCTGCACTGAGGTCCTGTGGGAGCATAGGGTCTATGTAGCAGACTTGGGGAGTGCTGGTGAGCATGGGTCGGGGTTTCACAGCAGAGCAGGTGGGCTAGGACCAGACAGCCATAAGGACCTCTGGTAGGGGAAAGAAGCAGATACTGGGCCACCTCCTGCTGCTGGCTGGGTGCTACCTTCATCTCCCCCTTGCCTGTGATAACTTTGGATGGCCCTCAACTGTGCAAGAGCCACCCCCAGGGTCCTGGCCCCAGGTGCTCTGGGCTCACCTCCCTCTCCTAACCCCCCACAGCCCTGGGTGCTGCCTACGGGACGGCCAAGAGTGGCACGGGCATCGCGGCCATGTCTGTCATGCGGCCAGAGCTGATCATGAAGTCCATCATCCCAGTGGTCATGGCTGGCATCATAGCTATCTACGGCCTGGTGGTGGCGGTCCTCATCGCCAACTCCCTGAATGATGGCATCACTCTTTACAGGTGAGTGCTGGGTCCCTCTCCCCATGGCCTGATCCCCCACCCCAGGATCAGGCCACTGCACAGGGCTGGGAGGCTGGGGAATGGGCATGGGCGGGTGGCCTGTGACCCATGCCTGAGTCTTCCCGGCAGGCAGCTAACATCGATTCTGTGTCCTCTCTTCCCTAGGAGCTTCCTCCAACTGGGCGCGGGCCTGAGTGTGGGCCTGAGCGGGCTGGCAGCTGGCTTTGCCATCGGCATTGTGGGGGATGCCGGAGTGCGGGGCACTGCCCAGCAGCCTCGGCTATTCGTGGGCATGATCCTCATCCTCATCTTCGCTGAGGTCCTTGGCCTCTATGGTCTCATCGTGGCCCTCATCCTTTCCACAAAGTAGCTCTTCTCTGAGCCCACCAGCCACAGAATATGATGTAAAGACCACCCCCTCCTCATTCCAGAACGAACAGCCTGACACACACGCACGGGGCAGCTGCCCCCCAGTAGTTGGTCTTGTAAATGCGCAGTGTCCTAGTGCCCATCATCCGTTGCCCCTGGCCTTGCCCCTGCCCGCCCCGTGCCGTGGACATCTGGGCCCACTCATCACCCACCCAGGCCCCCGACCAGTGAGGATGCAGGCCCCTGGCCGCCCCCACCCACCTGCTCTAGAATGTTCTGTGTATAAGAATGAATTAGAGTTGTCATTTTCTTCACTGGATGTTTATTTATGAAGATTTGACCTGTTATGCGTCTGTGGAGCAGCCCTCCGTCTCCCAACTATATAGTAATCTTAGGTAGAGTGTTGCCTTGTGGGGTCACCGTTTGCTGAGACCTCTTGGACGGAACCACCCTCCTCCAGCCGTGGCTGCCTGGGCCGCGTGCTGGGCCTGCCGGGGCCTGGCGCTGAGCCGTGCCCAATAAAGTTCTCAGATGTGACTGGACGCCTGTGTGTGCACCGCTGGTGTGGGTGCGGGGCCTGGGGAGGCGGGGCTGGCCGCCGCGTCACTGCGGATCGCGGGGCGCGTCCGTCACGTGGGCGCCCGGGTCATGTGGTGCGCGCCTCAGTCAGCTGAGGGTCACGTGGGTGCGGCCGCGGGGCTTCCGGTGCCGCGCTCGGCCGGGCTCGGGCGGCTCACCATGCGCGGCGGGCAGGGCGCGGGGCGGGCCCCGGTGCTCCAGTTCACCAACTGCCGAATTCTGCGGGGCCGGGCGCTGCTCTGGTGGGCGCGGGGCCGGCGCCGCTGGGCCCTGCTCGGGTGGGCGCGGGGCCGGCGGGGTGCGAGGCCGGTGGGGCGCGGAGCCGGGCGCTGCTCGGGTAGGCGCGGGGCCGGCGCCGCTGGGCCCTGCTCGGGTGGGCGCGGGGCCGGCGGGGTCGGGCGATGCTCGGGTGGGCGCGGGGCCGGCGGGGTGCGAGGCCGGTGGGGCGCGGGGCCGAGGCCGGGCGGGGTCGGGCGATGCTCGGGTGGGCGCGGGGCCGGTGGGGTGCGAGGCCGGTGGGGCGCGGGGCCGAGGCCGGGCCGGCGATTCGAGTCCCCGCCCCGCGCTGTACGCAGGGAGGATCTGTGGGTGCGCGGGGGCCGCATTCTGGACCCGGAGAAGCTGTTCTTTGAGGAGCGGCGCGTGGCCGACGAGCAGCGGGACTGCGGGGGCTGCATCCTGGCACCAGGCTTCATCGACGTACAGATCAACGGTGTGGTCCAGGGCCTGGGGGCTGGGAACCCGGGGAAGGACCTCCGACCACCGTGCGACCCTCTCTTTTCTGTGGCTGCAGGTGGATTTGGCGTTGACTTTTCTCAAGCCACGGAGGGCGTCGGTTCGGGGGTCGCCTTGGTGGCCCGGAGGATTCTATCTCACGGAGTCACCTCGTTCTGCCCTACGTTGGTCACCTCGCCGCCGGAGGTTTACCATAAGGTGAGGTCAGGCTCTCTGCCTCAAGCGAAGAGAGCCCCAGAAGCAGCCAGCCCATGAATTTTCAAATCTCTCCGTGCCGTACACGACTGTTAGTGCCTGCGTTTGGCCTCATTTGCTGGCCTCTCTCCGCTTGGGCCTGGGGCGTCGTCCCCTGGACTTTCTCATTCAGGTGCCCCTCTGCGTGGCCTCCGTACACTCTCTGCCACCGCAGTGGGACTGCCTCTGCAGCTGTTCTCTTGGCCTCTGCATTTGCTCCCTCAGCACCTGCAGCTGCCCACACCCTCCCCACCCTGCACTCTGGCCGCCTTGGGGCTCCAGAACCTGCCTCCTTGACCAAGGCTGCTGGAGATTTTCTGATTGCCTCATCCGTGGTTGCTCCTCAGGCCCATCCTCCCCAACCTGTCTGTGCTGTGACTCTGGTGAACATGCCTTCCAGAAAGAAGCTCCCTTTTCTGCCCCAGGCCCTCCTGCTGCTCTTGTCTACACCTGCACAGTCTTCCACTTTCTTTATCTGCAAGTTTTGGGATTCAGTAGTCCCTGGTCCATTTTCATTTTAACAAATTTTATTTTTCACGCATGTTCTTTAGTTTTGCGTTTAGCTACCTTTTATTATTCCTTCTGTGTGTATGTTCTTTTCTTTTGATTTGAGAGTAGGTAGCACACATGAAACTTCTTTACTGCAGAATTCTTAACTCTAATTCCTTATAAGCACTGATATTCTCTTATGTGAATGCAGTTGAGTTACTGAGTTTAGGAAATTAGCAAGTTACCCCTTGATCTCATCTTTGTTCCACTTTGGTAGTTTTTTTCTCAGTAGAGGATCCATTCCATGATTGCATAGCCTGCGTGGGGTTCTCTCCTGGGTGTGTGGACACTGCCAGAGCTGGGGGCTCTGGGAGGTCGGGCGTGGGCTCTGGGTTTGGTTCTGGCGTCTTGCCTTCATCCATCAGCTGGGAGACTTGGGCCATCCTTACTCCTTTCTGAGCCTCAGTTTCCTCAAACCTAAAGTGAGAATAAAGATGGTATCCATCTCTTAGGGTAGTTGGGTACTCAGCACTGTGCTTGGTACATATTAAGCGCTTGGTAAATGTCAGCTGTGGACATTTTTCTGGAAATTTCCCCTAGCTCTCCCATCACTGAGTTAGATACTGAAAACCAGCCTCATCTTTCTGCTGCAAACCGGCCCCCGATTCCTGGTTTTCTCTCCCGGTCATCAGTCTGTGATTAATCCTGCCTGGATATGGGGACATGGCCACCCTCTTGCCCCCCTGTCCTTTGTCTTCCCCCTTCCTGGTCCCCACCACTGAGGCTTAGTGACTGTCACCCTAGCCTCCGACAGCTCTTCTGGCTCTGGCTCGTGCCAGAATGGCCTTCCTACGGTACAGGGCTCAGCACGTCACTCACGCCCCCTGCCCCCTTAATCGGCAGGATAAACACCACCCTCCTGAGCACTCCATCCCTCCCTCGCTCCCTCCTATGGAGCCTCTGCTCTCTCCCCAGCACATTCCAGCCATTGCAGGCAGTTTTCTCTCCTGCCCCCAAGCCCTCTGCCCAGAGGCCTTTGCTTTGCTGTCTCTGCTGTACCAGCTGCCCTGCATGCCTCTTTGCAGCCAGGGCCGCTGCTGAGCTGTCACGCCCTGCACGCTTGGCCATTGTGATACAGACTGCGAGGTCTTCCTCAGGGGAAGGAGTTGCCAGCCAGTAGGACTTCTGTTTTACGTTTTCTTCCTGGCACCTGTCACTCTCCAGAAATGCTTATAGGATGAAGGTCTTGGGAGGCAGTGAGTAAACTGACTTATGATGGAAATCGTGGAGGGCTTTGAATATGAGAAATTTAATACCGATATCATCTGAGAAACCACAGGACTGTTCACTTGGCTATTTCCCCCATCATCTACCCTACCTTCCTCCAGAGCTCGTTCACACTGCGCTGAACTGGATTGCCACTTTGTCAAAAGTTATCCAGGTCCTTTGTCATCATTTTCTGGTTCACTGAGACCACCTGCTCTTTTTCTGGGGTCTTCTCCTCCCTTGTCCTTTGCTACCCTTCCAAGAGGAAGATCTGATTGCGTTGTTCTGTGGGTCAGGTCCATTGTCTGCTGAGCCAAGATCAGGCATCTCAGGGTGGCAGCGGGGCCGTTGCCTCTGGCGCCACACACCCTCTACACTTTGACCTTTCCTGACTTGAACTTGCCTCATTCCCTTCACCTCCAGATTGTTGTTTATTCTATTCTATTTGCTTTGTGCTCTTTACTATTCCTCGTAATATTCTGTTCTGGAAAAACTCAGCTATTATCGTTTTTTTTGAATCTTTAGTGAATTTATATACGTCACGTGGCTTGTTAGGAAAAACAGCAGCTCTTTGTCCCCACCGGTTCCCACCTAGAGACAGTCACTTTCAACTCAGCTGACTCTTGGAATTTGCCCTCAGATGTCTAAAAAATATGCTGTTATTCCTACTCAATTTTTGGGTTTAGTGCAGTATATGTGTGTGTTTGCTTCCCAGCAGGGAAGGTAAGGATTAGTTTTCTCTGAGCCCCTTCCGCCCTCTCAGGCCCTTCCAGCCCTGTCCTCCCCTGATGGTTGCCTGTGGTTTTGGTGAGATCAGTCATCAGGACTCGTAACTCATGTCCCTGCCAGTCAACTCTGTTGTCCTTGGAGTTACTGTTCTTTGTTTGCTTAGCTTTTTTATCTACGGTCTCAACTCTGCGCTTCATGCCAGTTGTCTTGCTCTTCTTTTGGGATAGTTAGACACACCAGGCAAGCCCTCAGCTTCGTCTTCCTGCGGAAGCCTCTGGGACCTGCTCTCCCAGCCCCAGCTGCTGGTCTCACGGAGGCCGAGCTGTCCCGGGAGCTCCCTTCCCCTCACTTCGCGGGTCCCCTGGCCCCTTCCTGCTGGGTCTCTCTGCCCAGGATCCTGTGTCGTCGTCTCGGCTGGTTTACGTCTTCTTTTCAGTGGAGCACATCCTCCAGTAGCTTCTGGAGAAAGGGGTCATGGGAGGTAAAGTTTTTGAGATCTTGAAGGTCTGCAAATGTCTTTTCTCTTGATTGATGGCTTGGCTGCGTTTGAATTTTAGATTAGAAGTCATTTTCTCCAGAATTTTAAAAGCATTGCTGTATTGTTTTTTAACTTGCAGGGTTGCTGATGAGAAGTTGGATGCCATCTGACCCCTGATACTTTGTGTGTGACTTCTTTCTTCCCCCTGGAAGCTTTGTCCCTGGGTTCTGAAGTCTCAGGGTGACATGTGTGGGGACCAGGGGGAGTTCATCCATTGTGCTGGCCGTTGGCATGCTCCATCAGTCTGGAATTTTGCGTTTTGGTTTTGTTTGCTTTTCTTGAATGATTCCTTGATGATTTTTGCCCTTATTTCTTTTCCTTTTTTTTTTTTTTTTTGTGAGGAAGATCAGCCCTGAGCTAACAGCCTTGCTAATCCTCCTTTTTTTGCTGAGGAAGATTGGTTCTGAGCTAACATCTATTGCTAATCCTCCTCCTTTTTTTTTTTGCCCCCCAAAGCCCCAGTAGATAGCTGTATGTCATAGCTGCACATCTTTCTAGTTGCTGTATGTGGGACGTGGCCTCAGCATGGCTGGAGAAGCGGTGCGTTGGTGTGCGCCCGGGATCCGAACCCGGGCTGCCAGCAGCAGAGCGCGCGCACTTAACCGCTAAGCCACGGGGCCGGCCGTGCCCTTATTTCTGTCGTCTTTTTCTGGGAGCTGTTACTCCACTGTTGGGCCTCCTGCATGGCTTCTCTACTTCTTTCTCTTCTTTCTTGCTCTGTGACTCTACTTTCTGGACATTTCCCCGGTTTTTATCTTCTAGTTCTTCTCTTGGGTTTTTCACTCCAGTGCTCGCGTATTTTTCACTTGGAGGACCTTGCTTCCCCCGAATGTTCTTGCTTGCTACTTGTTTCACGAGGGCGAGACTTCTCTCACGGGCGGATGCCGCTCCTGGCTCTCTGCTTCCCCGCCGGCTCTGTCCTGTCGTTTGTGGCCCTCTCTGTATCTTCTCTCAGAGGCTTCCCAGGCTGCTGGCGAGCCTCGCTTGTCGGCTCTGTTGGAGGACGGTTACCGGCAGGCCACTGGGAGCACCGCGCCAGGGGGCTGGAGGCACCCTTAGGTCGAGGTCCCTGAGTCCCTTCTCTTGGGCCTCGTTGGTGACATGCTGAGAGCGTTAGGAACATAAACTTGCACTGAGTTGCCTGGTTTTCTGTTTTGCCCTGACCCGCCTCTCGCCTGGAGACCCTCTGGGTTACTTCTCCAGGTGCTTGGCTGGCTCACTTGGGGACCCGGTTCCTCTTTAATGCGGCTTCTGTTGTCAGTCCCCCCACTTCTCAAGGCGCCAGGTGCTGCCGAGGCCTGAGCCAGTGGGGGGCTGTGCGGGGCCTGTTTCCTCGATGTCGCCACCACGTACGCCTGCCCACATCTGCCAGCATCTGTGTGTTGGGCCCCCAGGTCAACGCCCCCAGGTCTTTGTCACACTGGTTTTAAGCTTCTTAAAACTCCCTTTATTTTGTTCTGGTGGGGGCACATTGGTCCACTAGGCTCACCACAGGGACTCTGCCGTGTCCCGCACAGCTCCCTGTTCCACGTCCTTCCCCATGGTGAAGAGGAGGTGGGCTGGGACACCTGCCTGTCCATCTGCCTCTGAGATGTGTAACGGGAGCCCCTGTCACACACGAGTGCCCTTCCTGATCATGTGCAGCTCTGGGCACAGGGTGGCTGTGCCCTCGGTGCCCGAGCCTCTGGCGCCGTCCACACTGATCTCTCCAGTTGCTGAGCCCTTGCTTCTGCCCGTCGCTCTGCCTGGAGTGCACGCCCTCCTCCTGCCTTGGGCCTGCTTTCTGGTCCTGCAGTTCGGGGAGGCTGGGCCCAGTGCCCTGTTTGGGTCTAGGCCCTTCGGGTGCACCCCCTGCTGTGTCCTATCTGCTGCCTGGACTGGGGCCACCTTGAGGGCCAGGGTGCTGTGCGCCTGCCCCCTGTCTGAGAGCTCTCTGCTTGCCTCCTGGTCCTTGCAGAGGCCGTTCTCGCGTCCCCGGGGGCCTGTCATTTCTCCGTGCTTCTAAGTCTGTGTCCTGCTGTTTCTGAGTGCTGAGTTTTCCCTGACCATGGTTGGGGGCGTTTGCCCATCTTCTAACACCTGAGGGAAGGCCAGTGGGGGCTGGGCTTAGTTCTGACCTCTAACCTCTGACTTTGGTTGGGCTGTGACCTCTGGGCGCTGGGCTGTGGGGACAGGGCTTTAACAGCTGGTTCCCCCCAGGTCCTTCCTCAGATCCCCGTGAAGAGTGGTGGTCCCCATGGGGCAGGGGTCCTCGGTGAGTGGCTGACCCCTCTCCCTGCCCCCACCCCGGGAGGCTCCTTGGGGACCTATTGACAGCCCCTGCCCCCTCCAGATGCCCAAGTGGGGAGGGAGGGTGGGGCTGCAGGGTGGGTGTCCTGCAGGAGCCATCCACTCCCCTCCTCCCAGGAGTGCACCTGGAGGGTCCGTTCATCAGCCGGGAGAAGCGGGGTGCACACCCTGAGGCCCACCTGCGCTCCTTTGAGGCCAACGCCTTCCACGATGTGCTGGACACCTATGGGTCCCTGGACAATGTCCGCATCGTGACGCTGGCCCCTGAGCTGGGTCGCAGCCACGAGGTGATCCAGGCACTGACGGCCCGTGGCATCTGCGTGTCCCTAGGTGAAGGGGACTGCCTCTGGGGGAGGGCCCACCCGGGGGTCTTGGGCTGGGTGCAGAGTCTGAGTCCAGGTCCCCCACGCAGGGCACTCAGTGGCCGACCTGCGGGCTGCAGAGGAAGCCGTGCAGAGTGGGGCGACCTTCATCACCCACCTCTTCAACGCCATGCTGCCTGTGAGTGCCACCCCAGCTCCCGGGCGGGTAGGTTTGGGGGCTCCTACTCTCGCTTAGCTGCCCCCTCCTGCCCCTGCCCAGTTCCACCACCGTGACCCAGGCATCGTGGGGCTCCTGACCAGTGACCGGCTGCCCCGGGGCCGGCACATCTTCTACGGGATGATTGCCGACGGCATGCACACCAACCCGGCCGCCCTGCGCATCGCCCACCGGGCCCATCCCCAGGGTGAGCGCCTGGGCAGGGCGGAGGCAGGTGGTAGGACCAGGTGGGCCGAGTCCTGAGGCCCCTTCCCCCCATAGGGCTGGTGCTGGTCACCGATGCTGTCCCTGCCCTGGGCTTGGGCAATGGCCGTCACACGCTAGGGCAGCAAGAGGTGGAGGTAGACGGGCTGACAGCCTACGTGGCAGGTGAGTGACTACCGTCCCTACTGACTATCCACGTGAGAACGCTCCTCAGCCCCTCCATGGTTGGATACAAGATGTCCCCTGCTGCACCCCCCAGCCCCCACCCCAAGCCTGCCTTCTCTGCTCTCAAGGCACCCAGACGCTGAGTGGCAGCATAGCCCCGATGGACGTCTGCGTCCGTCACTTTCTGCAGGCCACAGGTCAGTTGGGGGTGGGTGCTCGCATGCTGGGAGAGGCTGGAGGGGAGCGTGGGGCCCACTAGTGCCTACATCCCTCGTCTGGTGGGGGTGCCCAGGAATGCAGCCAAGGTCCTGCCTGCAGGGAGCTCACGGGCAGGGGGAGAGGGCAGTGAGCAAGCAGATGGCTGGAATCCAGAGTGAGAGGCAGTGGAGCAACGGTACCCGGGAGGGGAGAGCCTTAGCCTGGGGCCTCTGGGATCGCAGAATCTTACAGGTGCCAGGCTGTGGGGCTGAGGTGGGTGTCAGGTCTCTGGGGTCAGGCTGTGCAGAGGCCTCTCAAGGGGTCAGCATGTTCTGGGGGAGGTGAGGGGGTGTCTGGCAGAGGCTGTGGTTGGCCAGGCCCTGTGAGGCTTTTGGTAGCGCCCCTTGGGGTCTGGGGTGTCATGCTGCGGGTTACCAAGGTCCAATGTGCTGTTTAGAGCAGCAGGGAGACCGGCCCCGGGGGCAGGTGGCAGCTGTTGCCTGGCCTAGGGGGTGATGGGGGGGTGGAGAGAATTGGGTTTGGTCATTTGACCTCTGGAGAGGACGGGGCAGAGCAGTGAGCCCTGGGCGGCCTCTTGGATGCCTCGGTTCCTGCTTCCTTGTGGGGGTGCTCTCCCTGGGACCCAGGAGGAGGGGCCGTGGGCATTTGGGTCAGAGCTTTTTGTCAGTGGGGAGAGGGTCTTTGTGGGGCTGGGATGGGTGAGGGGCTGGGAAGAGGGCACTTGGCAGTGTCCTCAGACTGGGGGGAGGGCGGGGTCTCTCCAACTTGCTGCAGAGTCCTGGGATGCTTCCAGCCCCTGTCCCTGGGACTTGGAGCTTTGGGGCCGCAGCGGGGAGGGGCTGCCAGCAGAGACAGCTGGGGGTTGGGGATGGTCACCCACCCGTGTCCCCCAAGCAGGCTGCAGTGTGGAGTCGGCCCTGGAGGCTGCGTCCCTGCACCCCGCCCAGCTGCTGGGGCTGGAGAAGCGCAAGGGAACCCTGGACTTTGGGGCCGATGCAGGTCAGGGTCCGACGCAGGGTGGCCCCGGGCAGCCTGAAGACGCGGGAGTTCTTGGGGTGCCAGGGCAGGTGGGTGGGAACTCCTTTGTGCCCCTGCACCTTCCCCGGCCACCAGCCTCGGCCTGGGCCCCTTTTCCCGTCAGGCCAGGCTCTCTGGCATCTGAGACAGAGTCAGGCAAGGGGCTGCTGGGAGCCTTGTCTGTCATCCTCTGCTGCCAGGAATCTTGGTCCCAGGGCCTCAGTCAGTCTGTGATGTGTTGGGGCGTCTTGCACAAATAGTGTCCCTGGTCTGGGATTCCCCACCAGCCTGGGAGTGGGGAGGTGCGGTGGCCGCACCCCTGCCGCCTTCTCATCCTCCACCTCTGACCCAGACTTCGTGGTGCTCGATGACTCCCTCCATGTCCGGGCCACCTACATCTCAGGCGAGCTGGTGTGGCAGGCGGAGGAGGCCAGGCAGTGACCGAGGACCATGGCTGGAGAGGACGCCCAGCCCCAGCTGGACATTGTCAGGGCTGGGCCGTCGAGGAGCTGGTCTCCGGGGAGCAAGTGGGAGCCCGGCCCCAGGTGGACAGCCTTGACCCGGGAGGCTGCTGGCTGGCTTGGATAAACGTGCACCCCACAGGGGCTTGCCTGGTCTCCGAGTTTTGCTTCAGAGCGGGGCTTCTTGCTGTTTCTGTTGTCACGCTGGTGGCTCTCCTGGGGGGGGGGGGGTGTCCATAATTCATTGTTTAGGTTTGAGAGTAGCTGGATTTCAGCTCAGCCTAATCTTCTGGGGCCTTGTGGGGCTCCAGTGGAGGCGACAGGGCCCCAAAGTAAGATGAGTGTGTCTGAGGCCTGCAGACCCACAGACAGATGTGCTGGTTGAAAATGGGTGGAGGCGGGCGGGGAAGCCTGGGCTGTTGGGGTCCCTGGATAAGGCAGCTTCAAGGCGAGTGGGCTTCGGGGGGCCCTGCTGGCCTGAAGATGGCCGTGATGCGGGTCATAGACATCTTGCCTTGGTGCAGCCCCTTCCCCTTCATGCAGGTGCAGTCCTTGGAGTAGGAGGGCACAGACGGTGTCCCAGGACACCATTGACTGTAGCTTGGCCACCGCTCTTCCCGCCTCTGCTGTAGAGCCCACTAAAGGAAGTGTCTCCAGGCCCAAAGTGACAAAGAGTCACAGGTCTCAGCTGTGTTTGAGGGTGAACAACCTGGAAAGAACAACTTGAAAGGCAGGACTGAGCGGGGACCGGGGGCAGGGGCACCAGGGCACTGGGTCTCAGGCCACGTGCCCTTGGGGTGCAGAGGTGCTGTGTGCCTGGTGGTGACTGGCCAGCTCCTGCAATGTGCCAGCACAAGGGATGCGGGGAGGGGCCGATGCACTGCTCACCTGGTGCCGGGCCTCCTAAGTGCTCTAGGAGGCTCATTCTGTTCTTCTATCAAAAATCCAAAAGGGTTTCCTGTTTTTCACTCCCGTTTCTCAGATAGGGAAAAGTGGGGCACTGAGTCCCAGAGCTGGAGCACCAGGGCCAGGGTTTGGCCTGGCCTACCTGACTCCAGGGCCTCACTTAAACCCCCCACCATGCAGCCTCTCTGGGAGGACAGGGAGGGGCAGGTTGAGATGGTGGTCGGCAAGGCTGACACCAGAGATGGCAGGAGCCAGTGCCGGCAGGGACAGCACTAAAGGCAGAGTGGGCTGCCCCAGTACAGGCCTAGTGTTTGTGAGGGACAGATGGCCACCCTGGCTGGGGAGAAGAGGGGCCCTGGGGGGCTGGAGAGGAGTCACAGGTGGTGAGCAGGGCCCTGCAGCTGTGTGGGAATTTGGATTTTATTTGAGGTGTGGAGGTAGTTGCTGGAAGATCTTTTTTTTTTTTAAATTGTGGTACAATATATATAACATTTACCATTTTAACCATTTTTAAGTGTACAGTTCAGTGGCATTAAGTACATTCATATTGTTGTGCAACCATCACCACCATCCTCTCCAGAACTTTTTCATCACCCTGAACGGAAACTCTGCACCCAATAAACACTCTCCCATCCCCAACCCCTGCACCCACCCTTCCTCTTTGTCTCTATGAGTCTGAGGCTGCAGGCTTTTAAACAGGGATATGCTGACGTTTTAGGGGAGGGGATCCTTTGGGTTGCTGGGGTGGGGGGGTCGGGGTGGGGTGCAGGTGTAGGGGGTGCTGGGGTAGCAAGGAGACCCTGAGAGGCTAGTTGTGGGGTGCTAGTGGGGTGGAAGACCAGTGAAGTAGGGGGACAGGCTTGCCCTAGTGTGGGTGTGGACTGGGCGGTGGGGGAGGTGACGCCAGGTGTGTTCATGAGTCACTGGTGGGTGGGGGGTGACTCACTGGATGGAGGAGCTGGAGTAGGGTCCCTGGGGAGGTGACCTGGTGTACTCCCAGCATCTCCTCCATGGCTTGTTCTGTGTTGTGCGTGAGCAGGAGGACTCGCCCCACGGCGCGACTCTCCGGGTAAGGCGAGGGACAGTTGGCGGCCGGGCCTGGGAGCTGCGGTGGCTTCCACTTGACGCGTCTGGACTGCGCCAAGCGCATGCGAGTTCGAGCCCCGCCGCTGAGGGGTCCCTTGCGAAGCCTTGGGCTCCCCAACGGGATGATGGACCTCGCGGGCTCCTAGCGCACCGGGCACGCCGCGGCGGGTGATGCGCTCGGGGTCCGGCGTTGATTCCTGCGGAGGAAATGGGTGGTGCAGGCCGGTCAGGCCGGCTTGGAGGTGGGGGGCAGACGGTATCCACCAAGCGGACGGTTAGAGAGGCGGTGGCCAAGCCCGAACGGCGGGGCGTTCACACTGAAGCCGGTCCAACCCGCTTCCGCAGCGCTCCCTGCCTGCGGTCCAGGCGCCGGGTCTACGCGGACTCGCAGGTTTGGGAAGGGTGCGGCGCGCGGGGACTCGCTTGTTGTGGGAGGGGCTCCTTCCTGGGGGGCGGGCTCTGCCGGGGGCCAATCAGGATCGCCATGAGGGGGGAAGGGCCGCCGCCGAGCAATAGGGGCTCGCGTGGCCCTCAGACCCAGTTAAGGGGCGGGCGCGGGGAACCCGGAGTGTCAGCGCGCTCTGCGCGCCGCACTGCCCCCCCAAGCGGGCACGCCTGTTTGCGCACCCCTCCATCCCACCGCGCCTTTCGGACCCCACTGCTTCCCTCCCGGTCCCACTGCGTCTTTGGGGATCTCTCTATGCCCGAACTCGCCCCGCCTCTCTGCGCGCCTTCCGGCTCCACCACGGCCCTCCACGCTCCGTCCTGTCGCGCCCCTGTGGACCCCTCCCTACGCCCCAATCCTCCTCTCCGCGCCCCTTCTCTTCTCTCCCCGCTCTTTGGCACTGGGGAGTTGAGTGGGGCTCCCCGCCGGACCCCTTCCACTGCCTCTCCGGGCCTCGCCCCAGCTCGGATCTTGTCCGGGGTCGGGGGCCCGGGTGCGCACAGCAGGGGGTGTAGCGCCTGCTCCGCCCCTGGGGCGCCTCCTCAGCACCCTCCTTCCTCGCACCCAGAGTCCTCGGGTAGCTCTGGGGGCACCCAGCTCGGCCCCCGAAGCCGCGGCCCTCGCTGAGCCTTGCTTGCGTCACACTCTCTATCATTAACAGCTGAGCCTGATTCCTTCTAACGTGATGCTGAACCTCTTTCCCCGTTTATGTTTTGTTTTATGAACTGGGATTGCACTTCTGGTATTGCTCTGCCATTCACTAGTTTTTAATTGAGCGACATGAAGTGGAGAGCTTCCCGGCTGGGGACACGTGGATCTGTCTCACTATTTTAACAAGGTGCCAGTGTTCTCTAAGTTGGACGGTGCGTAGCTTATTAACCAGATCCCACCACGGACCAGTTGTGTTCCTCCCCACCCCCAGCCCAGCTGCCCTAGGGAGGGTGGACAGGGAGTGATGGCCAGGGACTCCTGGGGACCCAGATGCTCCAGTGTGTCTAGAAGGCGGAAGGGGTCCCGTGGGTTCCTCCTCCCCCATGTGACCACAGCAGGGTCAGAGAAGGGCTTTCTGTGTTAGTGTCTTAGAGCTGCTTTAACAAAGCACCACAGCCAGAGTGGTGGAGAAGAACACAGATTTGTTATCTTACAGTTCTGGAGGCTGGAGGTCGGAGTCAGAAATTCCTCTCAATGGGCTAAAATCAAGGTGGTAGCAGAACTTTGAATCTTCCTAGAGGTTCTAGGGGAGAGTGTATCTTCTCGTCTTTTCCAGCTTCTAGATGCTGCCTGTGTTCCTTGGCTCATGACCCACCTCTGTTTGTAAAGCCAGCAAGGACAGTCGAGTCTTCCTCATGTTGCCTTTTTCTGATCTTCTCTCTCTCCCATCTCTTAAAGACCCTTGTGGTTATATTGGCCCTCCCTGGATGATCCTGGATAATCTCCTCATTTTAAGATCAGCTCATTAGCCACCTTAATTCCCCCTCTCCATATAAGATGACATATACACAGGTTGGGTGATTAGGACATGAACATCTTTGGAGAGGCTGTTATTCTGCCTACCACACTTTCTAGAGAGAAAGGCCTAGGCCAGGGCCCCCACTGCCTGGGTCTAAAGGAGGAACTGCATTCCCATCATCAGTGCACACAGGTGCTCATTTCCCTACATGCTTACCAACACTGGATATTTTCAGTCTTTGGGATTTTAACCAGGTTTTGGAGTTAGCCCATTTTATAGCTGGGGAAGTCAAGGTTTAGGGAGGGAAGGTTACTTGCTTGAGATCTCATGTAACTGTCTGTTTCCTGACTCTTGGTCCAGTTTTTTTCTCATGTAACAGATTTATATGGGAGGACATTTTCCCAGGTAGCTTGGAAATCATCGGCTTACTTTGGCATCTTTCATCCACCCCCCTGCAGCCACCAGTAAACGCATCTTGGGAACCTCAGGCGTGGTGACCAGGGACTTAGTGGGCAGAAGCGGGAGGCTACGCCCTTATCTTTTCAGAGTCCCCTTGTCTCTCCCTAAGTGGTCTCACTGCCTCCCCTTTGCCTGGTAGAGCTCTTTCCTGGCTTGCAAATCCTCCAGGGGTGCGGGCCTGGCCTGCCTCTCTTGCCTTGTCTCTCCCATCTCTTTGCGTCCCAGCAGGATTGGAATCCTGGCTTTGCCCTTGAGTAGTCATGGTGGCCAGCCTTGAAAATGGGCCCAGTGATCCTGCCTCCTGGGATTCACACCCTTGTCAGTTCCTCCCTCGTGATACCAGCTTGCTCTGTGTGACCAACAGAATGGAGCAGAAGTGATGCCAAGTCGCTTCTGAGGTTAGGTTATAAAAGTTGCTGCGGCTTCCATCTTGGGTGTGCTCTCTTTCTCTCCCATCACTGGGGAAAGCCAGCTGCTGTGGCATGAAGAC